CCCTTATTTCTAATTTTGTTGTAGAGAGAGTATAAGCAATAATACTCACATTGATTTCCTGTGCACGTGTGTTACCTTCTAGGTTAATTCTTTTTGATCTAACCTTTTCTCTAGTACCTGTTCCCCTTTTCCTATTGGCCTCAGTTGCTTTAAGGTATCTGCTTTAGTTTCTCTGCGTTAAGGGCAACAAATGCCAGCTAGTTTTTAGGTGGATGACAATACCTTGTCATTCTCCAAGAACTGCCACCTGCATAGCCAAACGGGCTTAAACGGGATGTGGTAGAAACTGTCCCTGCATCTTTCAAGTCTTTGATGATCCTGTCTAGGATTCCCCTTGAGTCACAGCATTCCTTCTGAGTTATTATTTTTGTGAGAAGGGGATGATCTAGAGTCTTACAATTTGTCCTTTCGACCATCATGTCCCTTACGTCACAGGTCTGGAGGCTCATGTATGAATTGTGTCTATAAATTCCAATTATATACCCTGAAACAGAAAATAATTGCAGGATGAGTCCTGGGTCCCCCTGGGCTCACCATGCTTGGATTTGGGTCAAAACTCCAATTGTCACCTGTCTACCTGAGCTTCTGCACAATGGCAGAATGGGTCCTTGGGGATTAACATTTGAGAGGTTGAACCTCCCTTAATCCCTAAAGAGTGTGGGGGTTGTCTCTTCACAGAGTGCAGTTCTCTGGCAAGTGGCCCAGGTCCCTTGTGGAAGGCCAAAAAGAAGAGTCACGATACGTGAAGGTTACTGGCCTTTCTTTTACTCTAGGGACTCTAGGCGAGAGGCCAGGATCTTTTGGAGTGACTCTAGTCAGGATGCTAGTTGCCAGACATGTGGGCGTTGGTTTGTGCTTCTGTTGTAGAGATTAAGAACCTTAGGAGGCTGCCTAGCCATTGATCCCACAAGTGTGTTGTTTAGCAACAGCTAATCCTCAGTGGCCACTTCCCCATCTGGCTGTCCATGGATTAGCCTTTGCCTAAGACACTGTGGGTCAGACAATGCTGATTATCACTGAAGGCTGTGGTCCTAGGTGCTGCTGCCTGGCCTCTGCTCCCCTAGAAACCCTCATTTCCATAGAGATCATGGAGCCCATTTCCATGGCAGCATCTCTCACCATGGACTGTAGAGAAATACTGCATCGTGTTTCAAAGGAGTATTTCTGGAGCCATGGTAATGGGAAGATCTTCTAGTTTCTGCAAGAGAAAGTTAGGGAGCCAGGGTGAGGTGGTGCATTTCTATAATTCAGTAGACACAGGTAGACTACATATGCCTATGCAGTAGACATAGGTAGGAGGATCGCAGTCCAAAGCCAGCCTGGCAAAAACGAGAGACCCAATCTGAAAAATAACTACGGTTAAAAAAAAAAGAAAAGGCCAGGGGTGTGGCTTGAGTGGTAGATTTCCTGCCTAGCAAGCTCAGAGCCCTGAGTTCAAATCCCCCACACCACAAAGAGGGAGAGAAAGAGGGAGAGAGTAAGTTAGGGGCATGTAACCTAGCCAGGGGCCGAGGCTACTGCGCCTGAAGAAGCCAAGATGAAGAGTGTGGACAGAGACACAGCATCCCAGCCATTCCATCTGAGCCCAGTGTCCAGTGAATGCAGACATCTGAGCAAACCCAGGCAGGGCCAGCACAAGATCTGCCCAAACAATCCCCAGACCTGTGAAGAACAAGTATGGAGTGGCTTGTTACTCAGCAACAAATACCACAATGCTTTTCAGGGTCACTTCCAGGCAAAGTCACTTCCAGGTCTTCAGGCCCTGCAGAAGATCAGGCAAAGAGGAAGAGGGGTCGCTTCTGCTGCAAGGAGGCCCAGCAGAGCTATAAACATGTCCCCTGTCTCATTCCCACTGAGATTGGTGACCTAAATTCCACTCAAGACCTAGTGGTGCTGCGAGTTCAACTGATATATTGGTAGTGTAATTTGGTGGCGGCCATCCACTCCTGTCCTTATAAGCCACAGGATATGACTTAGCACTTGACTTCTGGTCCTCTTGTCCCCAGTATCGAGTGTGACCTCTGACTTACACCACGGGTGAGTAATGGAGGAATGATCTGGAGAAAAGGAAAGTAAGAGCTGCCAGTCTGAATACATGTATTTTGTGTGCACAAACATGTCTTGGTTCTTACTGGGTGGCCAGGCTGGTCAGTACATGCTGGGGCCTGAGCCTGGTGCTGCCCCCAGAGACACTAGAGATTGGAGTGTGGTAGAGCTGATGTGTCAGGTCACTCTGAGGTAAAGAAGGAGAGGGGGCAGCAAGACATGTGCAGGACCCAGTGTCTCCCAGAGTCCCCTGAGCAGATGCAGCGGATGCCTTTGAGCCGCTGGGACTGAGCACAGGGTGCTGACTGGGGCCGGAAGTTTCCCTGGGGAGGTGGTGGTGACCTTTGAGATAGGACTGGAAGGATGAGGAGAGCTGCACAGCAGGGCTGGGGAAGGCAGAGGCCAGGCAGAGGAGATGGAGAGCAAAAGGAAAGGGGAACTGATGAGATGGACTGCAGATGGAGCAGGATGTGGCAAGCAAGGGCTCAGAAATTGGAGGAGTTGAGTGAGGATGACCACCTGCTCAGTTCCTGTAACCTGAGCTGCTTTGTGTCTTATTGGGATGGGACTGCCAGGCCCACCCTGCTGTCCCTCTCTGTGCTCTCAGCTTGCTCTGTGTGTTCCAGCTACTGCACCTCTGTTTCAGCCATTCCTCTCAGCTGGAATTCCTCTTTCTTCCCTTTTCTATCCAGCTCTCACTCCCCACTCCAAGATTTTCCCCTACATGTCAGCCCAGCCTGAGCCCAAGGCACTGTGGCATAATGAAAAGAATCAGGCTTTAAAGTCAAGGAAATGTGGACTCCAGCCCTAGCACTGCTGTACGAGCTTGAATCACCACTGTCTCTCATTATAAGTTGCTGACATTCATTGACCACGTGCTCTTTGCCACGTACCACGGGCATCTCATGTAACTTGACCCCAACCTCGAGCGCTCGGTATTGTTAGCATTCCCATCTTACTACTAAGGAAATTGAAGCTCAAAAAGATTAAGTAGCCAGAACCGGTGGCTCACGCCTGTAATCCTTGCTACTCAGGAGGCAGAGATCAGGAGGATTATGGTTCAAAGCCAGCCCAGGCAAATAGTTTACAAGACTCTATCTAGAAAACACCCATCACAAAAAGGGCTGGTGGAGTGGCTCAAGGTGAAGGCCCTAAGTTCAAGCCCCAGTACCAAAAAAAAAAAAAAAAAGATTAAGTAGCCTACTCAATGTCACACAGTTAGGGAGCGACAGAGCCAAGACTTGTGTGAGGTTGTCTGGTTCCAACACCTCTGGTGCTAAGTAAGCACCACAGCACCACTGGACCACTTCCTTTGAATGAGTCCTTATTGGACACCTCCTGTGTGCTGGGCATTATTCTAAATATGGAAATTTAGGACAAGGGCAGACAAAGGCATGCCCTTGAGGAGGTCACAGCTAGAGTCTTGGGGAGGACAAAAAAGCCCTGTGCTGCAGGGATGGAGTAAAGTTGCTCTCCCCCAGTCTATGGCATACCAGTAACTTCTTCGTCCACAGCCAGGAGACCTGAGTTCTCAGGTGGGCAGAGCGTTGACTGCTGAGTGGCCTTCCTTAGACTGGTCATTTCATCTCTCTGAGCCCCAGTGTTCTCACCTATAACATGGGACAGTAAGAACTATTCCTTAGGGGAAGCTCTGAGAATTAAGTAAGCAAACCTGCAAGTATCAGGCACAGAATAGGTGCTCTGTTGAAGGTTCATTCCATCTCCACACTTACACCCACATTGGGACCCTCACAACCCAACACACGCCTCATCACTCTGAGACTTCAAGACATGGTGGGAATAACAGGGTGATCCTTCCTCTAGGTGGCAGGACAGCTGCAAACAGGATGGTGGTCAGCCACAGCAAGTGTTCATGCTGGTGGAACAGCCTCCAGCCTCACCTGCCTCTGCCCCACCCTAGGGCCCCTGTGTTGCCACCATCTCACCAGCATCCACCCCAGCACAGACCTCTAACCCTCTCACCTGTGACCCAAGGGAGGGAGGAGCTTGACTCTGGGCCCCTCAGTGTGATCTGGTCACCTAATCCAGGCCTGACTCTCAGTTCACCACCTGCTTCCACCTGAAGGGGGAGCTGTTGCCTGCTGACCAACAGAGGCAGGAGGCCCAGTTCTTGACCAGGGCCGGCCTTCTCTGGATTATGATTAGTGTGACCCTGTCTTGATGGGTGATTGTGGGGTTGAGTGAGCGGTATTAGACCACAGGAGGATATGCCCCTATATGATTAGGACCTGGTCAGTCCCTCTCCGTCCCACGGAGCCAGTTCAATCCACTGGCTGAGTATCCTCAGGCATCTTTCAGTCTCAGTGACCTCACTCATAAAACGGGGACAACCCCCACCTAGCCTGGATGTTAGGCTTGAATACAATTATATACATCAAGTATCTTGCACCTAGTAAGAGCTAAACACAAGAGTGATACTGCTGGTGTTACTAAAGTCGTCATTCTGATCAAATCTGCACAACTTTCAAAGTCGCCCACCCCTCACTCCTCCTGGGAACCTTCCTTGCTTCCCCAAGAGCCATAGCTTCCTCTCCTGGATCCCCAAAGCCCAGGATCCCTTCTATACCAGCCCTTTCACATACTTAATGAATTTTTCCAGTGCTTGGTACATATACAATGCTGACTTCAGAAGTGAACACCCAACAATGAGCCAGACATGGCCCACATGGGGGAGGCAGACAGGGAAGGTGCGCCGTAAGTAGATATCCTAGTGCTAAGAAGTCAGCAAAATGAGAAGAGGTAGTAAGGAAGCTCAGAGTGGTCCAGGCCTCTCTGAGCAGGTGACATCTGAGCTGAGTCCTAGATGACAAAAAGCAGCCAAAGATCTACAAGTGTCATTTGCCAGGCAGGGCAACAAGCCTAGCATGTCTAGGGATAGGAGAATCTAGGGGACTGGACCATTGGGTCCTGAGGATATTGTCATTGTCACCAAATCTCCACCTTTAGATAAAGCCACTGCGGGGGGAGATCTAACTTATTGAACTCACAGAACAGGACAGATCCTGGATTCTTGAATTTTGCTAAAATTCCATGTGGTAGTAATGGGAGCCACACACCTCTTCTATAACCTCATTCACACCTGGTGGACTTTGTTGGATAGCCTGGCCAGGTAGAGGTACCTTCTGTGGACCAAACAACCCCCAGGGCAGACTTGTTGGCAGAGGAGAAATGGAGAAAGTGGGAGTGGCCTGTCCAAGGTCACAGCCAGTAGGCAGCAGAGATGGAGCTTAAACCATTTGCTCCTCTGCCTCCCTTGCCACTGGCGTCCTGTTCTGTGCACCTTGTCCCTGACAAATGATGTCAAGAGCCCTAAGGATTATGAGAGGCAACTATGCAGATGGTATCAGAAGGGACTGTATGGCTTCCTCCTCCCTGCCACACAGGCTACCAGAGAGCAGTGATTCCCACAAGCTTCCTGCTCCCACTGAATTTACCCCCTCTGGCCCTCTGGGATGAAATCAGCTTGAATGCCTGGGGCCCTGCACAGCAGGATGAGGGTGGCTGGGGTTCCCAGTCCAGTACTGTCATTTGGGCCCTATAACCTCAAACTCTCCAGGGCTGCTTAACCCAGAATAGTATCTTTAGTCACCACCCTGCCACATGCATTGTCTACAGTTATCTGCCAGCATTCCAGGGCTTGATATAGGCTGCAAAAGAGACTTTGTCCCCCGAGGAGAACAACATGGGAAGCTCCGGATCCAATCTTCTGTTCTCCAACAAAATTTCACTGGAAAAGTTTTATTGAAAAAACATTGTACAAATAAGTTCTCATTTTGACAGCAACAAAGGCACATGTTCCCTCTTCCCTCCCCTTCATTGAAAAACTAAACAAGGAAAAGACAAAAAAATTCATCCCCATGCTCTCTGAGGCAATGATTCTTGACTGGGGGTCTGCCCAGGAGCCCCTTCTATGACTGTCTCCCAATCCCTGTCACTGGGCTGGGACCAAAGGCCATTCTGGGGGTGCCTGGTCCCAGGGGCTGCAGCACCTAGTTTTGTAGTTGAAAGTTGGGGGTGGTTGGTAGAGTCAGGGAGGACCCAAAGAGGGGTGACTGTGGTAAGTGAAGAGGCCCAGGCTGACCTCCTCCTTCCCCCAGCTCGATTATCTCACAGCTAAGACTTGGCTGTAAATAGAACACTGATTGGCTGGTTGAGGCAGGCTGGATCTAGGACTTTGATGGCCCAGGTCCCAAGGTGTGGAGTCTCTGGGCTCAGCATTATGGTATCTGGTGCCCATGTCCAAGTGGAGTGGATTCCAGCTGGGAAGATCCGCTCAGTCACATGGGAACCCCTAGCTGCTTTCCCATCCCCACCCCATGGAATCCAAGACTGGCACCTCCCCCCACCCCAATAGCACCCATGTGTCTCAGGAGCCTTTGGCCACCTCCTGCTATCCTGTGCCCACCTTGGGGCTTATAATTCATCTCGCATCTTGTCACCCTTGGGCCGGACCAGGCGTCCGATGAACAGCAAGGAACCACTCTGGGTGTCTCGCACCAGGAAGATGAAGGGGTGGTCAGCATAGAACAGCTTGGGGCTACGCAGCTCCTCACGTCCGTAGATGTCCTGGTCAAAAGGGTTGCCATCTGTGTCCCACTCAAAGGCAGTGGCATGGAATACGCTGGCCAGGTACAGGTCCTTCTTGCCCGACATGCGGGACAAGTCTGCCTTGTTCTTGTCGATGGCCTCTGTCAGGCCAAGGCCAGCCAGATGTTTCTGTGGGATTAGGTGCCAGGTGAGACCATAGACCGCCAGGCTGCTATATCCTCACCCTCCACCCATATCACCCTGATGGCTCCTCCAAGAAGAGACAGCCTCTCCTGGGCCACCTTCTGTGTGCCAGGCAGTGCTGGGTGCTTCAAACACTGCTTTCCTCATTCCCATGGCAACCCTCCTGGGGCTTCCAGCACCACTTCATAGATGAGGAAACTGAGGCTCAAGCACAAGGTGGACTAGATCCCTGGCACTGAGAAGCAAGCTCAAGCTGTACTTCTCCAAGAGTGCTCCAGCACACCTGGAGCTTATGCAGGTTCCAGGAAGACATAAGAGAAACAAGAGAGAAAGGAGGAGGCCATTGAAGGAGCTGGGGAAGATGTGGGGGTATGCCCAGGTGGGAGACAGTGAGGCAACCTCTCTAGGAACTCTGTTCACAATAAAAAAAGGACACAAACTCTGCTAGTCTCTGGTTTGGAATCTAAGTCCCATCTCATCTCAAGCTTTCTCTCTCCCAGCACTCTCTGGGGCGAGTCTAAATTCTGAGGCAAGAAGCCTGCCAAGGAGCCACTTCTGGCACCCAAGGCAAGAATGAGATGAAAGTTTTCTTTTGAGCAAGTCAAATTCTCTGTCTCTCTTGATGGATAAAAAAGCCACCCCATGTTGTCACCTTGAAATGTAACTGCAGCTCCACCCCTAATAAGTGGGGGCAGGGGCGCTGCAGTAAGTCACTGCCTCTGAGTCTCTGTCCCCACACCACCCAAGGTGACCATAAGGAGGAACTAACTTATCCTGAATGTGTATGCTAAGTTTCTGGCCACCCTGAGTGGCATAGTGACATGGCAGATAATCCTCCAGTTTGAGTACTAAAACTGGGGACCTTATAGACTCCTAGAAGCAGTGCAGCCCTCCTGAGGGCTGAAGGGGATGTAAGATGTCCCAATTACCGGCTGAGTGATTTTGGACAGGTGACTTAACCTCTCTGAGCCTGTTTCCTCATCTGTCACTTTATTGTCCTAACTAAGGAAGTTGTTTTGAAGATATGGCAAGTTTAACCCATGAAGTGTTTAGAAGGATGCCTGGCACTGAGCACATATCCACTTCTATTCAGCTGCTGTTATTTTCATCTGCCCAAGGGCAGAGACCACACCTGTTCCCAGCATCCCCCAGAGCCCAGGGGCCACAGGACAGACCTGCTGATGAAGTGAGGAATGCCTAAACCACCACCTCCCCCTTCAGCCCTCACCTGCAGGTCGTGGGTCACCTCCACCACTCCCTTGGGCAGGGAGATGGCGACAGCCTTCTTCTGCATCTTTCCCATCCAGACCTTCAGCTGCTCTTTGGTCAGCAGCTTCTCGAGACGCTCAAGCGGCTCCACGTGGTGGGGCATGAGGATGATAAGGCTGGAGAGCTTGTGGGCCAGGGGCATCTCCAGGATCTGCAGCTTCTCCTTCTCGTCGTCATAGTAGTTGTAGAGGCCTGGGCAAAGAATGGAGGATGCTCGGTGCACTGTGCAGTGCGGGGCAGGCTGAACCACGAGCATCCTGGGACTCCCACCTTGACCCTCTACCCCACAAGGCACCTACCTGTCCGGTGCATCATGGTCACACCCACAGTGTAAGAACGAGTCACCATGAAGCCACGGTTGTCCACCATCTTGTGGTGAAACTTCTCATCCCAGTGTGCTGCAGTGGGGACAGACCACAGGGTCAGGGATCCATTTCCCCTAGACACAATCACAGCACAACCACAGCCAAATGCACACTGGGCACATGTCCTTGCCACAGGCCTTTGCTCCACTTTTTGGAGCCAGGCTGCAGCCTGCAGCACCCCAGAGCCCCAAGCCCATGGAGTCTATGTTCCCTGCTGTGGGGTGAGGGTGTGCTGGCCGGGGACATGCCATGAGGATGCACCTGGCAACTGAGGGGGGGTCTGTGCCCTGGGCAGGGCATACCCTATAACTGCCATACTTAAGTCCTGTGTCTGCCAAGAAAGATGACCAAAAGCAAAGTATGTGTGACAAAGGGCTGGGCCTTGTGGTTAGTCACAACCAGACCTTTGTTCCAATCCAGGGTCAGCTACTAAATGGTTGTGAGGCCTTCTCACCTTTCCTTTGGTGGCCTCTTTGTAAACCAGGGGTTACAGTACCATCTAGCTGGGTACCTAATCATCCATTAACACAGGCCCTTGGCCTAAGTCCTGGCTTTGTTACCTCCTCCCTGAGCCTCAGTTTCCTGCCCTCTGAAATGGGGTAATACTGCCTGCTCCTAGGCTGTTTTAAGGAATTGGGGCCTTTTCTCCATCCCATTACTGAGACAGAATTGATTCCAAGACACACAAGCCACAGTGGGAGTGCATCTCTGGAGGCCCCTTTGAGGGCCTGGACCCCTGCTGGGGACCATTAAACTCTCTGGATGTAGTTTGTAGAATGTAAAAGCGGCTTAGTAACAGTCCTGCCTCCGTGGGTTGTCCGGAGCAATAAATGAGAAGCAATTGATAAGTTTAGGAATAAGGAAGGCCTGTTGAGGGGCTTCTGATAGGAAGAGAACCGCCCCCCACCCCCCATGGACTCACGCTTGAAGAACATGGCATTGACCAGCAGGGCACCGTCCGTGCGCTCCACGTCCTTGGTGACTCGGGCAACTTGCCATCAGTGGTCTGCGAGGCCCACTCATTGATGGACTGCAGGGCGCTGCGCTTGTCGCGGAAGTTGATCTTGGAGTGCTCGCAGTTATAGTGCTGCTTGCTGCTGCGCACGAAGTCATCCGCGAAGCTCACGGAGCTGGGCCCATACAGGCGACTGCCCAGCTTCCACGTGACATTGCGCGCCGTGGAGTTGCTGAGCGAGCGCAGCAGCTCGCCCAGGCCAGCGTGCACCTCCTCATCACGCAGCTGCTCGGCGCTCAGCACTGCCTTCGCCTGCGATGCTGTGGCAGCCTTGCCACCCAGCGACACGAGTCCCAGCGACGAGGCCACCACCACAGGTGACACCAGGATGTTCTCCACGGCCTGGTCCTTGGCCATGGCCTCGTACAGGCTGAAGGCCAGACCAGTACTGCGTTCTGCCAACGTGGCCGCCTTGGGCTTAGCTTCTCTGCGGTGCCAGGGGCAGCTGGCGATGTAGGTTTCTTCACCTCGGCGGCCAGGGTCATGGGCAGGAGGCAGAAGATGCCCAGGAACAGGAGGGAGTGCATGGCTGGGAGGGGGGCTGTATGCACCACAGGTGATCTGTGAGGGCTGCAGAGAGAGGGTGGCCCTGAAGCCATTGCCTTCCTCCCCAGCAACCATCCCCTGCCTTCCTTTCTGCTACTAAGGCCCTGGAGGTGGGTACAAGACAGTCCAGAGTTCTGGAAGCCCAGACCTGACTCACCTGCTGCCCCGGTCTTTGGGAGGCCTTCATGACCTTCCTACCTAAAGCAAGATTTCCACCTGACACCCTATTGATTTCCTACACTGGACCCCAACACATTTATGTACCTCTTATAAATCAGTTTCTGCCCCTAACGTAGCAAGTCTACTTCCCCACTCTATCCCAGTGACAGGCCTCAGCTGTTCCTGCATGAGAGTAAAACAGGGCTACCTGGCCAGACCTGGGTCCTCAGGAACTATACAGAGCTCAGCTCTGACCTCACACAGCCTTTCAGGTCCTTGTCCAGTGAGAAAAGGCACAGCTGGGCTGAGGATAAGCAGGAAGCCCAGGACCAGGCAAAGGATGTCATGTGGGACAAAGGTGTGGCCTGCTCCACCCCCACCCCTTTCATTTGCTTTGGGATGTTAATGAGTCACTGGTTGGTTCACTCATTAAATGGGGAGCCCAGATGCTCCACTCTGCTGCACCTGGAGTGACCTTGCATGTGTGTGTGCAAGTGTGTACAAGCATGTGCATCCACGAAGCCTCAGTCTCCCTTTTTCAAGCTGGAAGGGTCTAGGTTTCCATGCCCAAGGTCTCTCTCTTGACAAGGACTTGTCCTGACCATCTGCCCATGGCTCTTGGTCCAGATGGGAAATCCCAAGACAAAAGCTCCTGGGAAACTCAAGAGTGGAGAGGGCTTCCTGAGAGAACACCCCGACAGGATCCTGGGGAGAGGGTGAGTCACAGCTCAATGGAGTGGTGACCCCTCCCCTACCTCCTGGGGCTGGTCAGATGTGTTTACCCTCTAGGAAGCTGTAGTCACATCAGATTCCATTCTGCCCTCTCCATCTGACAGTCCTCAAGGAGAGGCCCTTAGGCACCCTCCTCAACCCCAACTACCCCCAACAACAGTAGCAGGAACTCCAGCACAAGCCCCACTCCCCTCTCTGGAGTCTCCAATCAGGATGTCTCTATTTATGGGACAGTTACACACACCCTCTTTACTTCATGCAGCAGGAGAGGAGAGATGATAGAGCGAAAGGAAAGGTCAGAAAGAACCATGGTGGAAGCTGGGACTCCACTACTCTGGCAGATCTTGTTTCATGGACTCCTGCAGGAAGATCAAAAATTTGAAATCTTGGCAGAAGATACTCTGCTCTGGCCTGCCAGAAGGAGCACTGGATTTCTGGAAAAACTCTACTGCTGTCACCTTATAAGTTCAAACAGGTTTCTTATCTCCCTGGGCTGCCACCCTCCTTCAGGTGGCAAAGGAAAAGCAAAGGGCCCAAGGAGGCAAGGGGAGGAAAGGAGGGAGGGCCGCTGAGCCCCACAGATGCCTGGGGCGGAGGGCAGAGTGGGTGGGCGGGAAAGGCATAAGAGAGATCTGTGCCTCACTCTCAAGTAAAAATGGTTTGGGGGAACCCAGGCTTCCTCCCTCCCAGCCCTGGCTCCTTCCCCAGCAGACCTTCATCCTCAAAGGCAGAGTGACTGTATAATTTATTATATAAACAAGGACACTGATGAGAGCAAAATGGAGCAATACTAATTTTTGCACCAGAGCAAAAGACAACCCCATTCAGAAGCCATCTCTAATCCATCAGGAGCCACCAGCAACCCCTTTCTTAACAGGCAGTATTGGAGCCTAGCCCTGCCACGTGGCAACCACCATCTTGATAGCTCCCACCCACCAGTCAACCAGAACCTGGGAGGGGCTTCTCAAGAAAGCTCCAAATAACTAGTTTGGGATTCCTAGGGCAACCACACCACTCCTGGTGACGTGGCAGGCAGAAGATTGAATTAGAGGCCTAGGTTCAGGCCCAGGGGTGCTATGGATTTGCCCAGAATCTTCAGGAGCTTCCAGGGCCTCAGTTTCCCACTTGCATGTCAGTCTCTGAAGGGAGAGGCAAGGCTGAAGAGAAGGGCGCCCTGTTAAATCCAGTAGCAGGAATGGAAGAAGGCAAGTCACCACAAGCAAGCCAGCCTCCCACGCAGCCCAGCCGTCTTGCTAGAGAAATGCTAGCCCTCAGGCCAAGGTTAGACTATCTACAGCCTCGTGGAGAAAAACAGGAGACGGTTGTCTCACCCACAACTGGCTCTGAGAGCTGGGACCAGGAGAGAAGGGGAGGGGATGCTAGGGGCCACCAGAGGGTCTCAAACACTTGAGGAGTCTAAAGTACCTTGAAACTGCCTCAGAGGGAGGTCAATGCCTGCCTTTTTCATTCTGAAAGAAAACAGAAGAGTGAGGAGAATGGGACCCCAGAGGGCAGGTGGGGAGCAAGGGTCTGCCAGGCCCAGTCTCCAAAGAGCACCCAATCTACAGGGACCTTGGGAGTGGAGACCTCACTGGGCAGATCGCACAGGAACAGGAAGGGTCAGGCTTCCTAGTGAGGGTCTCCTTTCCCTCAGAAGCACTCACAGAACCCTCCTGCAGTGCAGGCTTGTGGTGTCCCGTTACACAGCCAGTATAGGAATTCCAGCAACCAGAGACAAAGGACCAGACAGGAAAGGGGGATGGGGTAGAAGGGTGTGGTTCCAGTCAGATTTCCAGGCAACCAAAGCCCCTCGGTTTCCCCAGGCCTCCATCCGGGCCCTGCAGCCCAAAGGGGCCAGCAGGAAACTGGGGAAGGAGGAGGGGCCAGGCCTTGAGGCCAGGATATAAGTGCTTTCATTCTTCCTCTGAGGGAGGCTCTGGAATGTCCCTAAAGCTGAGAGTAGGGAACCCCAGCCTTGGAAGAAGCCCTACCCCTACAATTCCTACAGGATCCAGGTGGATGGGCAGAATAAGGGTGACCCAATCTCACCCTGCAGTGAGCCCACACCCAGGCCATACAGACTCCTCACTCTTTTTGAGGGGAAAGAGTGGAGCCACTCAACTACTTCCATCAGCTGCTGAAGGAAGTCACCTCCTTTCCTAGGCTCAGGTGACCCCATCCAGCCTATTTGGGATGCTGAGCAACGTCAATCAATGCTGGATCTTGGGTCTCCAACCCAGAACTGCTCTCTGCCCCAGCCCTCAGGCGGCCCCATCACCAGAGCCCAAGGCCCTCCATCCTAAACCCTCCAGCTGCCCCCAAGTGCCAGGGACTCCAGTTTGTGGGTTCTGGCTTGGGCCTAACCCCTCCTGGGGGCGATCGCCCCTTCTCACTCCCTTGAGCACCCCGAGGTCGCCCGGCGGGCGCTCCCGCCCCTCACCTGGGCAGGGCTGGGCTGCGCGGGTCGGACGGGAACCCGGCTGTCAGGCTGCGGATCAACTCTACTCTCCGCCTGCGGCCCCGCGCCTGTAATCTATATATGGCTGACCCCACCCCCTCCAGCCCGTCCCAAGAAACTTCTGGAAAGTTGGAAACGCTTCCGGAGGGCGCCCCAGCTCCGCCAAAAAAACCCAAAGACCTCCCCCTAACCGCCCCGGCTCCCGCCCCTCTTCCTGCGGGCGCGCTCCCAGCCCCTGGGTCCTACTGCCCCCTTCGCCAGGCTGGCTGCGGGGCACCTGGGAGCCCCCACCGGGACCAGCCAGTCCTAACGAGCACGGGCATCTGTTGGCTCCGCAGAGACTCGGGATCCTGGCTGTCCTGGAGGTAGGGGTGTGGGTTCGCACCATTGAGCTGGAGGGGACACCAGCTCCAAGGTCGAGCTCTCTCGGACTGGAGCCCCTTTGGTGGCAGATGGCTTCTGGCACCCCTTTCCCTGCTGTGCTCACGCAGATCCATCCTCCCACCCAATTCAAGCTTTAATGGGGTTCCCCTCCTTTGCCTCGGGGAAGCGATCAGATCAGGCTTTTAAGAGTCAGTGCCCCTCCCCAGGTCAGAGTTCACCAAAAACCGGAGTCTTGGAGTACTAGAGGCAGACACCTGGGGAACACCAGGTGGTGGTGCTAGATCAGGGAGGAAGAATGCACAGAAAGAACATCTAAGCTGTCCACTAAGTGCTGTGCTGTGTGACCCTAAGCAAGTTACCTTCCTTTTCTGAGCCTTAGTGTCCTTGACTGTGAAATGTGGCATTAAAGCTACTCCTGTTCCTCTCTCCTTTCTTTATCTCACAATGGTCATCCCTGCCCCACTCCCTATCTCTGTCCCCTCCCTCAAGCTCTCCCACCCCACCCTCCCAAACTGATAGCCCCTTGAGCTCTGAGTTGACCTGGGGTATTCATTACTGGGCTAGGTGCTAGGACCCAGCTGCCCTCTGCACAAAGTCCCCACCCTCTGGGACGTCCATTCTGAGTGCACCTTTGTAGAGAGCTCTCCATAAAGTAGGTGGCTGAGGGCAGCCCCAATATTCTATCAGTGACATGATAGATAACAGGTTGGCACACAGTGGAGAAGAAGGGACAAGGTGGAGAGAACTTTTATTTTTTGTATTTGTTTCTGGCACTTGGGATCCAGCCCAGAGCCTCAGGTATGCCAGGCAAGTGCTCTACCACTAAGCCCATCCCCAGCCCTGAAGGATCTGTTATTTACTTACCCCCACACTCACTCAGCAAACTGTGCTGACCATCTTCTTTCCTCCAGATGCACGCCTGGATCCTGGGGAGTGAATGAATCCCAGCCCCCACATACCAGCAAATGAATCCTCTGAGTCCCTGGCCTCAGTCAGTTGCAGGAGTTATGAGAAGCCTGGTGGTGGTGACTAAATTCTGAGCATGGGTTAGGCTGATTACAAGGGCTATGGGAAACCTTAGATCCCAAAAGCTTCAGACTCTCAATCAAGGTCAAAGAATGAGAGATCACTTGAAGCCTAAAGTGATCACTGTCACATGTGATAATCTTACACTTTGAGTCTTAGAATCTTACAATAGTCTCTGAATCCTGCTAAGGAATCTTAGCCTGCTAGAATGTCAAAGGATCTTAGAATAAAAATGTCAAAAACTCAAGGAGTGCTGGCCTCAGTGGCTCACCCCTGCAATCCTAGGATCTCCAAGAGGATCTCCCCTGGGGGAGTGGGGTGGAGGGGTAGTTCATGAGATTCCTTTAAATTAATAAAAGCTGGGTATGGTGGCACACACCTGCCATCCCAACTACGCAGGAAGTGTACATAGGATCGTGGTCCAGGTCAGCCAGGGCAAAAAGGGAGACCCTATTCCAAAATAACTAAAGCAAAAGAAAAGGGCTAGAGGTGTGACTTGGGTGACAGAGTCACCGTAACTGTGTTTATTACAATAATTTGGAGCAGTCTGTTCGTGTCAAAAATACAACACATTTCCGATCATCTCACAGCATGCACTCCTATAAACATTTTAAAGTTAATTTTAATCAAAAAGTGGCCATTTAAAAACTGCATGTTTGATATTACCAACATTCCCAGCTCAGCACAACCAAATGATGGAAAACCACTAGATCACAGTGGGTGTGTCCCACAAAAAGTGCAACAATGTACAAATGTTTTATATAGTTTATACTATATAAAATTAGTTAAAATAAATTCCAGGTAAACATATTACATTAAGAAATAGTACTAGTAAGGCTGGGCCCACTGGCTCACATCTGTAATCCCTGCTATCAGGGAAGCAGAGATGGGGAGGATCTTGGTTGGAGGCCAGCCCAGTCAAAAAGTTATTGAGACCCTCAGCTCAACAAACTAGCTCAGAATTGGGGTAAATGCCTGCAATCCTAGTTAGGAGGGAGCCATAAGTAGGAGGATCACAGTCAGAGGTCAGTCCACACAAAAACTTAAGACTGTATCTGCAAAATAATTTTTTTAAAAAGGCTGGAATGTGGCTCAAGTGGTAGATGGTCTGCTTAGCAAATACAAGGCCCTGGGTTCAATCCCCAGAACCACAAAATTTTTTAAAATGTTAAAAAAAAAAAAAAAAAAGGGCACTCAAAGAGAAAAACGCAAACATATTTTCAACAATAAAAACACTAGACAGTGGAATTAGAAACTTTCAAATAAGACATTATGTAACTCATTTAGCTCTATTATGGGGTGGACCTTCTGAAATTATGCATAATGAATTACTTGAGGATAGTCTCAATGACATGGCAAGAGCCTGTCTCAAAAAACTCACACACACACACACACACACACACACACACACACACACACACACAGCCCTCAGGGAGGAAAGACATCCCAGAGTTTTGAGTTCATGGGTTCCTGTCTGCAGCCCAAGCAGAAGTCTTCTCCATGCTATCTCCCAAAGGCAAGCACCCAGGGACCCAACGAGATGGTGTCCGTCTCTTTGGAGTGGCTGTCCTGGTTCTCCTGTGTTTCCTGCCTCAACTGTGCATTGCTTGTAAGAATAAATCCTTGCTATTTGAGGACTCAGCCTGGGTCCCCGGTACCACTTCCCACCCCCACCCTCATCTTGGCCCTCCTCCCTCTGGGTCCCTTGTAACTTGGTGAGTGAGCTAAGGGCTGGGGCAGAAACAGAGGGCTCCTCAGGCTGGTGGCCTAGAGGCTTTGAAAAGATGGGGCCTCAACCTTGTCCCCTGTCCCCAGCTCCCAGCCCAGGGCAAGGCACAGAAGAAGTGCTTGGTGAACACAGCAGCCAGCAAGTGAGTGATGGGAAGTGGCTAACTGTCTCCCATGCTCTAAGCACCAAGTATGAGTGCTTTTCTCCATGAGGAAAGAAAGGCCACGGCTCCTTTAAATTTCCAGCATCAGCAAAAAAAAATGTCAAGAGGCTTTGCCACAGTATTCTTAGCTCTGAGCCCAGCCCAGGCGCTGACTGGGCCCTTCCCCCACATTCCAGGCTGCTCTTTCTGGAAAAAGTCCTCTTTTTGACGAGGGGTGGGGGTGGAGGGGAACACTTTGAAATGCCAGAAACTCTCCAGTGTTTCATGTCTGGATTCCTTCGTGCCTGCAGATCTGTTCCTACCGCCCTGCACACAGGAACCTGCCTGGCTGGAAATCCTGTAGGTCCAAGAGATGTGGACAACAGGACATAGAAAACCATCTAGTCCAACTGCATCCACAGAGAAGAAAACTAAGCCCCAGGTCACACAGCAGGTCAAAGGTGAAGATGGGCAGGATCTCATATCCTAAACCCCAAACCTCCTTCCCCCACACCACCCTCTACCTAAGCAGCCAGAGAAGCAGGCCTAGTTCTGCCATTGACTACAGGAACAGCTTCCTTTGGCTCCTGTGGCTAAATTCACCCATTCCTCACTGTATAGAATCCTAGGACAGAAATTAGCATGTCATTTAAGTGCTTAGCCTGTCCACATTTACCATTGTATCTAATCCTTTCGGTAGATAAGAATAATCCATTTATTTATTTATTTTTATTATTTTGGTGCCAAGGGTACAAAAGTGACATTTACAAAAGTTCTTACAATATATCATAGTTATTCACCCCCTAATCCTTCTCCTTTTCCCCCTTCCCCATTCCTGAAATAGTTCCAACAGGTTTCATTTTTCCATTTACATTCATGTGTACACAATATTTGTAACATATTCACCCTCCTACACCCTTTCCCCATATCCTCCCCCCTCTTATTGGTACCAACTCCTCAGTACAGACCTGTTCTGCCCTTCTGTTCTCCGTTTTTGTAAAAAAAAATTTTTTTAATTTTTTAAAAAGCTTTTTTTACTTAAGATAGCTATACATTGGTTTCCTTGTGACATTTCCATGTATATATGTATTATAATCTGAATTGTTTCATCTCCCCTAATTTTCTCCTTTCTATTTTAGGGGAGGTCACTAATGAGAGGGACAGCAAAAGAAAGAAGTTAAGAAGGTGAATATGGTTGACGTACTTCCTATACAAGAATGAAAACAGAATTTTTAAATCTGTTGAAATCACCATAGAAGAAAACTAAGGTAGACTGATCCCATTTTAAACCTGAAGGCATCAGGGAGAATAGGCGTTAAATTCAAGGGTACACAGCAAGTTGGGATTAGAACCAGGGAGGGATTGGAGGAGGTATGACAATGATGGCTCATTTGTGCCAGGCACTGTGCCAGACACCCTGGATAGTGTCTCAATTTTAGAGGACATTAGTTGGAAATGTATTTAATTCCCTTGTCCTTTTTAGGTGAGGTAAAATGGAGCCAGAAAGGTTCTGACACTCAGTCCGGGTCACCCTCTCCCTGGGAGTCAGAGCCCACAGGCAGTTCCTCTGTGACAGCTGTCCAGGGGCCAAGTGTGCTCTCAGCCCAAGCATGAGTCAGGGAAAGGGATTCTGCAATCTTCGATTCTCACAAGGACTTCACAGCCTTCCATCCAAGAGGGCTGTCCTAGGCTGCCACGTTGGAGGGAGGAAGGCTGCAGGCCAGAAAGGGGTGGGTAGGCATGCACGTGGTTCCCACATGGTTCCTCCCCTCCACTTCCCAGAGCAGGCTGCCTCACCCCCACCCCTCTGCAGCCTCTCAGGAACGCTGTCCTTCACCCACGTCTAACACAATACCCAGGGACACAAGCCCACTGACATGTTGTGAATATGTGTGTATCTGTGTGGCAATGCAGAGCACACCGCGTTCAGAGACAGCTCCGTCATCCCATCCCGGTACTTGCATATCTGCATAACTCTCCAGCAACCCAAATGCAACACATAAAGTACCTGATGCTTCCATGTTCACAGGCACAGGCCCCTTGGCTCTTCCCAGCCTCCTCTCCCAAGCCTCCTCCGGCAATGCATGGACCCAGCTCTAGCTGCCTGCAAGGCCAGTCCGGAGGGCTGGTAGGATGGGCTGGTGGCTGTTGGACTCTGCCCTGTCCTTTCTTCCTTCCTTCTCTCTCTCTCTCTTCCTTCACTATTATTACAGGCATCCACACCTGTAATAATAGTGATGACCAGGTTGGCTACAGGGCTGTCCTCCCTGTCCGAGCATCTCTGACACTCAGAAAAGGGACTCCTGCGCTCCCCAGCCGCCAGGTCTAATCTGCTCCAACACAGTGCAGTACCTCTCAAGTGTTATGGAATGTAAAAACTTGGACTTGGGTCAGGAGACTGGAATCCTGTCCTGACTCTGCCACTTCTTATCTATATGTCTGTGATCTGATTCTTCCCTGGGTGACACAGTACTGTCACCCTCAAAGATGAGAAGTAAGAGGAGAAAACGCCTGAGAGAGCACTTTGTGAACTCTAGATGACGTCAGGAGCTCCACCTTTTACCAATGGGTCACCTCCTACCTACTCTGAGGAACCACCCCGACCTTTCCCATTCTGTCCTCTGAGTGCTGTCCTAGCCCTAACATTTCCACTTGCCCCTTCCTTGCGCAAACACAAGGCTAGCAGAGGGCTGTTGCTGGAGTAGGGACCTCGCTGGGACACACAGGCAAAAGATGGTAGCCTAGTCAAGTGGGGAGAACCCAGCCTTGGAGTCAGGAAGTCTGGGTCAATATCAGTCCCACTACACTCCTGAGTGATCTTGAGAGTCACTGACCTCTGTGCAGCTCAGTCACCTCATCTGTAATGCCAGGATATGAGCAGGGCCTGGGTGGATCTAAGAACCTGAGAGCTCTAAGTTCAAACAGAAAGAAGGCTTTCATACACACCTCCAGCAAGAGGAGAAATTATCCCAACTCTTTCTAGAAGGCATTAGCACCACAAGCTTTAAAAACGTTACTGAAGAGTTTCCTGCAACATGTTTTGTCACATCAAAAATTAGAAACAGCCTAACTACCCACAGATAGGGAGTAGAGAGAAGCAAGTGAGGAAGTTTTTATGTTCTGATGGGAATTTAATCCTAGCGTGGAAGCAGAGTGAAGAAGGGCGTGTGTGGTGTGTGCCTTGCTTAGACATCACGCCATCTGGAAGATCATGGAGAAACTGGGAACATTCCTTGCAGGGCAGGAGGACTGGATGGAAGGCAGAGTAGGAGTCTTGCCTTCCATCCATCATGAAATTTTGACTCTATGAATGCATTACCTATTCATACACTTTACAAATTTGAAATGATTTGTGTTCTTTGTGGAAAAAATCCATTTTAAGGAATTTATGGAAATGTTTTTAAATATAAGCAATGCACCTGGTATATGTATGAGAATGTTCATTGAAGACTTTTGTTGTGTAGTGACAAAAAATTGGAGCCAAGGTCAGTAAGGAATGGAATGTTGGCAGACATCAGAAAGAGGGAGCTGTTGTAATCCTCAGGCAGAGAACGATAGCTTGATGGCTTGTTGGATAAAAAAATCAAGCAGTTTATAAAACAGCATGTTTATGAAAATTCTATGTGCAGAGTTATAGATATTTGGAAGGCCATTCGTGTTTCAACAAAAAGTCAAAGCCCGTTATTGTGTGATTTTCGTTTAATTTTTAAAACATTTCTGCTTTTTAGAGGTCTGGGTTTATTTTCTTCTTAATGAATGTTTACTATAAGCAATTAATAAAACATACAGAGAAATGTATACTATTCATACAGAAAGGCTACAAAGAAATACTCGTAAATGGTTTAATAGTGATTATCTCTAGAGATGAAAATGCATGTAACCTCTGCTTTCTTTTCTCTGCTCTGAAGTTTTTCAATAGCATGTTTTATTTATTAAGCTTAAAAAGTATCAATTGAATGACTAGAAAAGAACCATCCATTGTGAGGGAAGCTACAGCCTGAAGAGGGCTCATGTCTGAGTGACAGCCAGGGGGTCGTAGGCCATTTTGAGGGCTTGGGGTTCCATCCACTCATTGTAACACTGGGAAAGGTAGGAGGCTGGGTCTGGAGAACTCTCTGGCCAGGCCTGGCACTTCCCATCAGCCCAGGCCTGTTGAGTGGACCAGAGAGGAGAGTCACAATAGCCCAGAATGAGATGCTGAAGCCTGGGCCCTGGCAGGGACTGCAGAGGTAGGGAGACCCTGGTGTGGATTGGGCATGGAGGGCCCTGGAGGAATAGGGGAAGGAGGACTCCTTGGTATCTGGATAAAGATACCAAGCTGGTGGCAAACGATCCTTTTCCTGAGGTGGAGAGTATGGGGCAGGGGTGGCAATGGGAGATGGCAAGCTCCCTCCTGTAGACTGGAGACATCCAGGAGGCTGTAGTATCTGTGTGTCTGGCCCTGGGGAGAGAAGGACACTCCAGAGATGACAATGTGAGAGTCACGGCCCAGGATAGTAATGGACATTATGGATGGACGACGTGGATCAGAGCAAGTACAGAGGGTGAGAAGAACAGAAGCTGGGGAGAAACAGGCCCATATCAGGGAATAGGAAGACTTCTGCACCTTCAGGAGGAAAACCAAGGCTGAGCCTGCAAGGCTGCTGGTGGGGCAGGGCTGAGTGGGAAGGCCATGTTGGATGCGATGGAGCTGTGGCTTTCTCTTACCTCCTCTCTGGCTGAGAATGAGGACCAGGCTGCTTCAGATCTGTGGTGGGTGTGGTGGGTCAGTTCTGGGGTCTGTACACTCGGCCAGGCCCCATTGGCTGTTGGGGCTGCAGCTTCGCAGAGACAGGCCGAGCTGATGCAACGTGGGCCTATCATTGCAGGCCCTGCGGAGGGGATGCAGCTGTGCTGGCCACTGCCCAGCCGTTCCAGCTGGGAGGGGGGCCTGGCTCTCAAGGCAGGCTGGCGCCCAGAGATTGCAGCCCAGCCAGGCCCAAAGGATGTCTGTTCTGGGTCTGCTCTGACTCAAGAGGGAAACACGCCTTTCATGGAAGTACCCAGAGCCCTGAGCTCTGTGTGTGTGTGTGTGTGTGTGTGTGTGTGTGTGTGTGTGTGTGTGTGTCTACATACGTGCCAAGTGGAATGAGCCACAGCTGATTGATGCTGCACTACAGCCCTTTCTCTCCCATTCAGGGCTCCCAGGGCCAGTTGGGGAGACAGGGGAGTGGACAGGCCCCACGAAGCCTGCTTACCTCTGTGTGTGAGACTTTGGGCCAGTCCCTGGTCCCTCTGAGCCTAAGGTTCCTCATCTTTCACACAGACTTGGGAAAAAGAACACAGAGGCTGGGGTGAAGATGGAAAGAGTTCCTCCAGAGGGCACAGCAGACTGCCTGAGCCCCCAAAGCAAGCACAAGAGCAAGGACACAAGCATTTACTAATGCCTGTTGTGTGCCCACAGCTCTCCATTCTCCAAACTTCCTGTGACCTTGCTATGAGGTTAGCATTTTAACCCTATTTGCAACTGAGGAAAATGAGCCTCTAGCAGACTGGGAATGAGAGTCTGGATCTGAAGCCGGGTCTCTGGACTCCTGGGCCACACCAGAGAGAGCATCAGGAAGCTTAAGCTGGCATCAGTGTTGCCAATGACTTTGGGTACTGCAACAAGTCGATTACCTTGTTAACTCTGCCTAGGCCCTCGGCAAGGGCCGTGAGGTTTTAGGGCAACTAAGAAGGGGGAGATGGGCACATGGTGACGAGGGCTGAGGGATACTAGGATGAAATTGGGGATCCAAGGGGTCAATCAGAGCACAAGCTGAGACTCTGGGACCCTCGGGCAGCTTTCTTAAGTTCTGGGACACAGGGCCCCAGCTCTGGAAAACTGGCAAGGGTGGGGCTGAGGGCTAGAAAGGGTCTTGGATGCAAATTTAGACACCATGGCCTAGTCCCACGAATAAAGCAGGGAGCCTGGCTGATGGAGCAAGACTGTAGGGTCCCTGAGGTTAGTGCCTCCCAACATTGGCTGGACCCAGAGATGGAGTTCACAGTTGTGCAGTGAATGAGTGGGTCAGTGAAAGGCCACTGATCAGGTAGCAGCAGAATTGGATGACCCTGGCCTTGGTCATCCAATGACCAGATGTCTGACCTGCCACCCAGAGTGGGGCTGGGTTTACCCTGATGCTCCTGGGAGGGAGGGG